TAGAAGACACTTTGTCTATGGTGGAGGATGAGTTGAAGAAGGGAAAGACTGAAGAAGAGTAGGGAGACTCTAGCAAGAATACAGATGAGATATAATCATGATCACAGAAAACGTTGAATAGACTGGAGAAATATTCAGGATGGGATGTGGGGAGATGGTAAGGGAGATGGAGATGTCAAGGATGACAAAATATTCCCAAGTCTGTGGAGTTCAGTTTGAATATAAGGCGTTAGCATTACTCATGATTAACATTTGTTATTTTTGTATTATATTACTCATTATTATTAATATTATACTCATGAGCAACATTATGATTAAATTAAATAGTTATGGATTACATATGTACTAATTAAATCATTACTCATGAATCCCCATTTTCGTTAAAGGAGTGTTTCTCAATCTTTCTAAGTGTGAGGACTCCATTTTGATAAGAAGACATATTGTAGACTGCTCTCTTCCCACATGATAGTTGTAGTTTTAGTAGCAGTTGACTTTGATAATGTTTTAAAGGACTTTTAATTTTATTACTCACAACATCATGGTCATATATTATTCATGCTGTATATTTTTTTAGGGCTAAATAAAGATCAAGATGGCAGTGGTTGCTTTAGTTAAAAGTGATGAAACCCTTGAAACAATTCTTTAGCCTCCCATACCCCTGCCCCAAGATCTGTCACTCACAGGTTTAAAATTACTGGTCAAAACAATTCTTTATGAATTTGTTTTAAATATTTTAACCTTAAATGTATGATATTGCCTTTGCTATTGGAAAAAGTCCAGTAGGGTCTTCTTCTTTCTCAAAAGACACATGCTATTAAATAGAGGGAAAGTGATTAACAAATGTATTTTACATAAACAGAACTTTGTTAAATGTAGCAAACATTTAAACAGTTTAGACAAGTGTAGACATGGGAAATTTCAGTGACCTTATTTTTATCTCTTATTTCTTATCATTATTCAAATAATTCTACCACTATGTCACTAGAGGATTTTCTTTTTGTTTCTTCATTTATTTAGTGTGGAATTTATCCTACTCTATACTGTATAATGTAAAGTATGTCACAGAAACACTTCTCACTCATCAGAGCATAAATTATTTTAGTGCTCTTTCTGTAATTCCTTGAGAGTCAGAAATCAGGAATGCCTCTTTCCCACTTCTTAAAAATTCAGAAGAGTGCCTTGTAGAATTATATTGTCACTCAATTTCACCTTTCAGAGTGGTTAGTGCCCACACAAATTTGTTTCTATGATATAGTAAAAAACTGCTACTCATTAATTTTAATTATAGTTGATTTTTTGCTTTTAAAGTCTCTTTGTGAAAATTTTGTTACTTTGATATACCTGAAAATTTCCTAAAATGATGAGCCACTATCTTGTTTATTTAGAAAGAATAACTTTTGGGGCATCTGGATGGCTAAGTTGGTTAAGCATCTGCCTTTGGCTGAGGTCATGATTCCAGTGTCTCGGGATCAAGTCTGCATTGGGCTCTCTGTTCAGTGGGGAGCCTGCTTCTCTCTCTGCCTGCAGCTCCCCCTGCTTGTTCCCTCTTTCTCTCTGACAAATAAATAAATTTTAAAAATCTTTAAAAAAACATAAAAAATAACTTTTGACATACCATTAAAAATTAATTTTTCTTGGTATTTTAATCTTATTTGAATTCAATTAACATATAGTGTATTATTAATTTCAGATATAGAGTTCAGTTATTCATCAGTTGTATGTAACACCCAGTGCTCATCATTATCACATGCCTTCCTTAATGCCTATCACCCAGTTACCCCATTCCCCTACCCACCTCGCTTCAGCAACCCTCAATTTGTTTCCTATAATTGAGAGTCTCTTATGGCTTGTCTCCTCCTCTGATTTCATCTTATTTTATTTTTCTCTCCCTTCCCCAATGATCCTGTTTTGTTTCTTAAATTCCAATATGAGGGAAATCATATGATAAGTTTCTTTCTCTGACTGTCTTATTTCACTCAGCATAATATGCTGTAGTTCCAACCATAGTACCGCAAATAGTAAGATTTCATCCTTTTTGATAGCTGAGTAAAATGCCTTTGTGTATGTGTGTGTGTATATCACACACACACCGCATCTTCCTTATCCATTCATCTGTTGATGGACATCTAGGTTCTTTCCATAGTTTGGCTATTGTGGACATTGCTGCTATAAACATTTGGGTGCATGTGCCCCTTCAGATCACAACGTTTGTATCCTTTGGGTAAATACCTAGTGGTGCAATTCCTGGCTTGTAGGGTAGCTCTATTTCCAATTTTCTGCAGAACCTCCATACTGTTTTCCAGAATGGCTGTACCAGCTTGCATTCCCACCAACTGTGTAGGAGGGTTCCTTTTTCTCTGCATTCTCTCCAACATTTGTCGTTTCCTGACTTTTTAATTTTAGCCATCCTGATTGGTGTGAATGAGTGGTATCTCATTGCATCTTATTGATGCCGAGTGATATGGAGCACTTTTTCATGTGTTTCCTGGCCATTTATATGTCTTCTTTGGAGAAATGTCTGTTCGTGCCTTCTGCCCATTTCTGGTTTTTTTTTTTTTGGGGGGGGGTGTTGAATTTGGCAAGTTCTTTATAGATTTTGGATACTAGCCCTTTACCTGATATGCCATTTGCAAGTATCTTCTCCCATTCTGTAGGTTGTCTTTTAGTTTTGTTGACTATTTCCTTTGCTGTACAGTTTTTTTTTTTTTTTTATCTTAATGAAGTCCCAATAGTTCACTTTTGCTTTTGTTTCCCTTGCCTTTGGAGATGTGACTAATAAGAAGTTGCTGTGGCCAAGGTAATAGAGGTTGCTGCCTGTGTTCTCCTCTAGGATTTTGATGGATTCCTGTCTCACATTTAGATCTTTCATCCATTTTGAGTCTATTTTGTGTGTGGTATTAAGGAAATGGTCCAATTTCATTGTTCTGCATGTGGCTGTCGAATTTTCCAACACCATTTGTTGAAGAGACTGTATTTTTCTCTATTGGATCATCTTTCCTACTTTGTTGAAGGGTAGTTGACCATGGAGTTGAGGTTCCATTTCTGGGCTCTCTATTCCGTTCCATTGATCTATGTGTCTTTCTTGGTATTATTGAATGCATCCTTATGTTCAGCATGTTTCAGCTGCTATGGAAGTAAAATGAAGTATAATTAATCCAATAAACACATACAAAATATGCATATATGTTAGGCTGGCCCAGGGCAAATACAGGGTTTACTGAGATGACAAAAGACACAGTTAAGGAGTTGCAAGCCAGTTGAGAAACTGGGAATACATATATTAGGCACTGGAATGATGTATAATATTGCATGTTATAGTTAATATAACTTTTACTGTTTTTTTTTTCAATAGTGACCCATTAAACACTAGTTTAATTCTTTTGAATCAGTGCTCTGTATTCTATGTTAATTGGTATGTGAAGCACCGAACCCTTTTTATTCATGACTTATTTAAGGAATTGATTGTTAACAAAGAAACTGTGTATTTTAATTATACTTCATATACCTTCCATCAATGGGATCCTTAGAGAATAGGTTTATGAGAGGCATACAGAATTAAATTTGTATCACCTTTTATTGTTAAGAGTCAATGCATCAATAACTGATAGAAATAAATTCCACAGGAGGGGTATTAGGCTTTTATCCAATTTATAATTTTTATTTTATGTATAACTTTTAGGCGGTTGTGGCTTCCAAAATCTGATTGCTGCATAAATTTTTTAAAAAGATTTATTTACTTATTTGAGAGAGAGAGAAAGACAGAGAGAGTGCATGCTAGCAGAGGGAGGGGCAGAGAAGAGGGAGAAAGAGAATCTCCAGCAGACGCCCTGCTGAGTGCGGAGCCCAGCACAGGGCTCAGTCTCATACCCTAAGATCATGACCTGAGCCAAAATCAAGGTCTGATGCTTAACCGACTGAGCCACCCAGGTGCCCCGTGACCGCTGCATAAATTTAAAAATTTATCTTTCCTTTAATCCACTGGGGAATAAAGAAATAAAAGAAACCTCACATTTTTGAACATCGGGCCTCTGGGAGATTGTTCTTTCTGACTTAGAAAAACACTGATTAATCACCTTCTCAGCCAATATTGTTCTTTAATGTTGAACCATATGTATCTTTAGAATTATAAAATATTTTTCTATTGGACAAAACTGGCCAAATATCTTTTTTGTGTTTATGATATAAAGACAAAATTTAAATTAATTCCACCAGCAGAGGCTCTTGCAATGTAGAATGGTATACTACTGAATTTAAATAATCTCTCCACGCTTGTCATTTTACACAGATAGTATCATAAAACAAGTAATGACAGATTAAGACCTGCCTAGCAGAGGGAAAACTAAATTACACAACTTTTATTAAGGCATAAATAAACCTATTAACCATTATCTGGAATACCAATTAGTAGAAAGTGCACTGACAATTTTATTTATCAACATTAAACACAATTATTAATTATAGACCTGATGAATCTAGCAGCAAGCAGGCCATGGTGGATATGCGGGGACCTTAAGTCCATTATGTGAGAGGGATGATTACCAAAATCCTGTGGGGAAATAAGTAATTGTCGTTGTAAAATTTTAATTGCCTTAGAATAAGGCAAATTATATTTTCTTGTCTGAGAATATAAATAGTATGACATTAAGGTAACAAGCTTCAGTAGTTGTAAATAGAAAATGAATTTATGTTATGTTTTAAAACAAAGCAAAGAGTGATGATGAATTTTTGGTGTCATAGTGTTCAGTGTAAATGATATAATGTAAATACATGCAGATTTTCTTTAGATATGTTGTTTAGTGGGTGAGCTATTTCCTGCATTCCTTTTTGTCATAGTGAAAATTAATGTGGGAGGGGACTTTCTGAATGAATCATTACAGGTGAATGGGAATTATATAACTGAAAAAAACCTTTTAATTGGGTTGCTATTGGCAGAATTGTGAAATGAACAAGAGAAAGTTCACATCTTTTCTGCCTCTTTTTTCTTTTTCTTCCCCCTGAAGATCCAAATTCCAGAATCTGTGGACATTTACTCATAGGTGCAGCCAAGAGTTCTTTTGCAAAACTCATGGATAAAGTTAGTCTGGCAATGGAGAGTATACCTTTACATAGTAGCAGGAGTATTACATACATAGAAAAAGATTCTCTGGTTCAGCAGCTGGCTCGTGGACTTCATAAAGTAAACACGCTGGCCCTGAAGTATGGTCTCCGCGGCCATGTGCCCATTTTGGTATGTATGCAATTTCATTAAATAGTGACTTTAGGATTGTAAACTTAACTCTGAATCACACTCACTTGTAGTTAAAATTAGTTGTGCATGAATGTATTTAGATTAGATTTCATGTAGTCTTTAATGCAGTACATAATAGCACTTCTAAGTACGTGTCTAAAATATCTAAATACAAAAGTTCTGGCGTGAGTTGTGAATTTACTATTTCCTAGATGTAGGCTGCCACAGAATGCTGTGAGACATAAACAAATGTCAGTTCCCTTTCCTAGCCATTAGATTATTTATTTGCTTTGGCTGTTGATTTCATATCAACCACATTATTGGTCACATACAAAATAAAGCTTTCACCTCTGAGTGTCAGTTACAGCAAGTATCTTTCTCTGTATAATCCAAGATACACTGAAGTTGGTATAGTGGCCATGGTTGCTGATTTATTAGTAAACGTGTAGTTCCTTTTTGTAAAATTGCTCTTGATTAACAACAGAAAAGCACGGCGTCATTACAGAAGCAAATACTTGGATTTACACAAAGACTGCACGCGGCGGAAGTGGAGCGTCGCTCACTGCGCTTGGAGGTCACAGAATTCAAACGCAGCATGAATGAGATGAAAAAGGAGCTTGACAAAGCCCAGGGTCTCCAGATGCAATTAAATGAATTTAAGCAGTCTGTAAGTATGTGTGATTTACAATACTGTGGCTCTATACTTCTGATAGATACATACACACACATAGCCACGTGCATATGATACACATACATAGACATATATGATCCATATATCTATATATTTGTTTTAATTTTTGATTTTTTTTTGAATAATTCAGAGTCCCATTAATAGAATTTTTTTTTCTTCAGAAAACCTCCCTTCTAAAATTCCCCAGCAATACTGCATTATATAAGTCAAAGTTGCTGAGCAACTAGATCTTAAATGTTCTCATTGCGAGATGGAATGATAATTATGTCACATGATAGCAGTGTTAGCTAAAGCAATGGTAGTAATCATATTGTGATATATAAGTGTATCAAATCAACAGGTTATATACCTTACATTTAAATGATGTTCTATCTCAATTATATCCCCAAAAACCAGAAGTTAATACCAGATGCTTAAAGGAATACTGATTCTCTGTCAGCAGAACTCATAGCCCTGTTAAAATATATACTCTGGCTGAAAGTGTAGAAAAAGAGGAAATTATATTTTAGGATAGATTAACTGCTTTAGCAAACAAACCCCCAAATGTATACTAAAAAATAATAAAATACTTCTCCCAATTGAGGAACCTGATGTTTGGAATGGGAGGTGGGATGTCCTCTCTTTTCCTTTTATACTATGTTGAGTAAACTAGATTATCTCATTTGAAATAAAATTGCTTTTCCAAAGAAATGTTCAGTCTGACTTCTGTTGAACTCATGTATTATTTAAGAAAACAGGAGATAGTTGAGAAAAGACAGCCTGGATTCTAAATAACATTAAGTCAAGATCAGAATGTATAAATCTATGAAGCACAGTAAAATGGAGCTATCCGCATACTCCATCGGCCACCCGGGTTAGTCAGTAGCACTGCTGTTCTCAGTGTGGATATAGGAACATACGGTTACCCTGAAACTTCAGAACTGTGTCCAATTGATGACAGCTAATATAAATACAAATACAAAATTTGTTTCCTAAATCTAGCAGTAGGCTACTTGCAAGTTCAACTTCAGTTTAAATGGCTAATTTGGAATTTGCAGTTTTAACATTTGTGGAAAGAGTGGCAGATAGCAGTTTAGTTACTAATCCTATGATAATGTAAATTACTAATGTTAATTATTATTTTAAGTAGCTATGCCTTGAAAGGGTCAAAAGTTCTTATAAATTAGTCAGGTTAAGTAATTGTGAATTACCCTTCTGATTGGAGATAAGTAATAGTTTTCTTGTCCGTGAATGTCTAAAGACACCAGTTTTTGCCTCACTTTCTTAGGTTTTTGTTCAGAGAAGTTAAAATTATAGAGCTGCCTCAATATTTTTTTATTATAAAAATAATATGTAATAAAAATACAAAAAAGTGTAAAGAAGAAACTCAAAGCACTCTAATCTTACTACTCATAACCAATTAACACTGAATTGTGGATGGGTTTTGTTCCCTACATTTTTGTATGTGTACGTGTGCAGATGCATGCTCTTACACACAGTTGTAATTTAGAATGATTTTCATGTACAATACGCAAAACATGCTTACAAATGTTAATGTTTACTTATATAGTACTATAAGCATTTTCCTGTGTCAGTTATTAATTCCATTTTAGGTAATTGAATACTGTTCTATAATATGGATATATCAAAATCTGTTTGACAGTCTCCTGTTAATAGATACTTCTTTTTTTTTCCAGTTTTCTTTTTGATTATATTTAAGTCATAAAGAATTGTTTATACTTTTAAAAGCCTGTTCCTTTGGAGTGTATCTCTGCCTCCTTTTGATTTGCTTTTAGTTGTGTATACTAACTAAATCTGGGATGTTGAGGCCAAAATGGATGGAAACAGCTATTGATACAATTTGAGATTTAGAATATACCCAACTTTTTTTTTTTTTTTTTAAGGTGTAGATGATAGTGATTTTCCTGGAAATTGTTGCTTTCTGGAATATGTAAGAGGAATTCTAGGTATTCCTACAATAGGATTTCCTAGTCCCTCACTAAGTATTAGGAAAACAAGTTAACATCTTATCTCTGATTAGTTTGGAAATAGGACTCAGTTTCTAGAATCCAGAGAGAAGGTTAGAGTTTGAAGAAAAGTTGCTAGAAGGTGACAGAATCCTCTTGTAAGAACTTTGGTTGAGTAACTGACTTGGGGGAAATGCTATGAATATATTCCAAGAAGTGTTTAGTGTGAATTGCTTTCACTAAAGTATAGAAATAAAAATAGGATCAATTGAAGTAATAATTGACGGAATGAGATTTTTGTACTTTGACATACAGTTGGAAGGTGTGACATTATAAAGTGATGATTTCTAACATTTAATGACCAAATTGACCCTGTATCAGGCACTGACCCTAAACACTTCAAGGAGTTGATTCATTTAGTCCTCTTATATCAGTAGTTGTTCAAAATTATGATTATCTTTATTTTATAAATGAGGAACATGGGACGTGGAGCAGCTGAGTAACTTGCCCAGAATCACAAAGTTAGTAAGTAGAATTGACAAGATTTGGACCTGAGTAATCTGGTTCCAAAACAAATGCTTTTAACTACTTCACTATAGCGGTTAACATCTATATATAGCTGTGTTAATAAAGGGTTGTTTCATTAAAAACAGAACAGATCGAAAAATGATGCTACTTTCCTCTAAAAAATGGAGAGTATACTTACAATCTTCATCTTTCCCTGAATTCAGTCAAAGTGCATAGGAGGAAGATAAAATAGCTTCTTTATAGTTGGTCTAAAATTGTAATGTAAAGGGAAACATCCTGCCTGCAAAAGCTGTTCAGTGTTTTTATTGCTTCTGAGCATTGTGTTCATCTACTGACAGTTGTTCTTGAACAGACAACTCCCATGATTTTTTTCTCTTTTCTTTTTTTGCTTTATTGGTCCTTATAGCTGCTTTTCCACACCATCTCTTTCTTATTCTCCTTCGCTCTATTTGTTTGATTCTGTTTACTTTCTGAAGAGTGAACAGAATTGAGCCAGTCTCTGGGAGGGATAGATAGATAGACAAGAGAGAGGCTAAAATTAGCCAAGTTTTAATGTGAAGGAGAAATTTTGGAGGAGTGGGTGGAATTCCTGGGAAATGATGGGCATTATGATTTATAGAGGTCAAGTGACAGATGGTCTGATGGTGAGGAGTGATACTTTAAAACAACATAACAAATAAAAGGTAGAAGTAGTATAAAAATATCTGTTCATAAGACTGAGAAGAGCGCTGTGGCATCAGGGGAGAGAGGGATGGTAGGTAAGAGGTTGAAATGAACAAGAGTGCCCAGAGGAGGCCGTTAAAGCTGATGTTCTCGAAGTGGAGGGTTTAGCTGTAATGGGACAATGTGGAGAGTAAGGCAGCTGTTAGGAGGGAGTACAAGATAAGTGTTCCTGCACATCTAAACACTGTAAAAGTATCAGAGATACATCCAATACAGGATCCTAGAGGACTCTCAGGAAATGAGGCAACTTTCTTTCCTCTGTGCTTGGGATCATTCCTGTTACCTTGTGTCGACTTAGGTAAATCATTCCCCGTCTATTTTTGTGCTAGAATGTTGCTGTTGTTTATGTGATACTTTAAAATTTAATCAGTGTTGAGGAGTGCGTTATATCCACCTTTCAAAAGGCAAATAATAGTAAAAGACAGTTGCTTGTGGGAGGCAGCAGGCAAGGTACCTGGGGCGAAAATAAAACTGAGTTAAAACTATATTATGATACAGAAAGAGCCAAGTAATAAACTTATCCTCAAACTTAGTTCTAGCAGAACGTTTTTTCTCTGCCTGAGATGCATGCTTGCTGTTGTTGGCCCATGAGGAAACTGTAGCCAAGCACATTTGTGTCATGTGGCAGAAAACTCAGAGATAAAGTCCACATTCAACTGCACTGGTTTATATATTCCAGATGCCTAGAATCGATAGGATTTTTATTCTGCTCTTCCCCTCCCCCCCAAATTAAAAAAAATTAAATCAATTTGCTTTATATTTGTGGTTAATTATATTTACCTTTAAATCTTTTCACCAATGGGAAAGTTATCAGTCTTAAATAGACATATATATTTATATATACAGCGTGGTTAATTGACTTGTACCGTGCCTTTTAGTTTTCCATATATGTTTCTCAGGTCGCTTCCCTTGTGTGAAACATTCCCACACTTTTTTCTTCAAGATCAAGATGTCTCTTGTTGTCTGCTGTAATTAATTTTCATTTGCTTAATTGTTTTGAACAGGAGATAATACATGTGTGTCCTGCCGTGGATTCCCCACCCTTTAAGGGATGGCCCCTGGCTAGAACTGTTTAGACAGATGAATCGCTCCATTCTTGAAAGCAGTCTTTAGATTTAGATGATACTGTAAAAACTCTGCTGTATACTCTGGCGCAAAGTTTTATTTGTAGATGTTTATGTAGGAATATTCTTTCACTCAACAAATATCTGCTGTCTTATGCTACTTATACTGTCAACAAATATACTGCTGTCTTATACTACTGAGTACCAGGCACTCTACTGGGTGAGAAAGCAGAATGAGGTCTCTGCCCACCATCCTTAGACATGTGGTTGGTGGCAGAGTGCAGACAGGCAGTATAAAAGGGAATAGTTACATGAAGTGAATTTAGATAATGATAATGACTGTAAAGAAAATAATAGAATATGGTATGGCCGTGTGAGGAATTGGAGGAGGGGGGAAGGGATGGTCTGGTAAGAACTCTTGAAGGAGAGGTTGTTTGACCAGGGAGATGTGAATAGTAATGTATGCCGAACACAGATTTTCACGTAATCACTTAAAATCATCAGCACTCGTTAAAGGCTTTAGTTCCTGCAATCGCATTCTTTATAAAAAGTGCTAATGTATGAAAATGTAAACTGAGCATTATAGATTTATGTGAACTTGAAATAAGTTTCCTAAGATTTTATTTGACTAAAAATGATCACTTTGGGAATATAGCTGTTCTGCGTTAGAAATCAGAGTGATTTTTTTAATCTTGATTTGTGAGATTAAGAAAAACAAGTTGTACTTTTGTCATGTATCAGACACTTAGAAATGTGTGTGTTACGGTCTATGTTGGCAAATCAAATTCTGAAGATTAAATGATACAACCACGCAGCTAGCTTATAACTGAATTTTTTAACCTCTTTTCAGAAATTGATCACCCATGAGAAGTTTGAAAGTGCATGTGAAGAACTGAATAATGCGTTACTTCGGGAACAACAGGCCCAAATGCTACTGAACGAGCAGGCACAGCAGCTACAGGAGTTGAATTACAGACTTGAACTGCATTCCAGTGAGGAAGCTGACAAAAACCAAACTCTGGGAGAAGCTGTTAAGGTAGGACAGTATCTCTTGCGTAGTCGTTTGTTTCCTGGAGGTGTGGATCTTCCAGGGAATCATTTATATCTCCTGGCTAGGGAATAGAACCCAAGATCTGAAATTTTATCCTGTACAAGTTCATAAGGATGGAATGAACTTGCTTCTGGGACCTCAATTCCAAGTGTGCATTCACATGTATCGAAAATGTAGAAGTAGGTTTTACTTGATAGCTGAAAACAAAGTAGGGGTCTTTCCAGTAATAATTACTATTTCAAGTTTTTTTTTTCATTTAACTTCCTTGTTTCCTCTTCTCTTTAGTTCTTTTCTTTTACTTGTTTTATGCCCCCTGGACATTGAAACTCTACATATCTTTTGGATTTTGAAAAGTTTTTGGTCTGGGTCTGTCTGATTCTTGTATAAGTGTGTGTCTGAGGAGGAGGATGGTTTGGTTAGGGAAAGTTGTTCTCTCTGTCATATATTTGTGGCAAAGCTACTTAGAAGAGAAAAGAATAAAATAGTTGTCATTTAGAAAGTTTCATTAATGGATTTAGGACTGTGGTATCTTTGGGAAATGTTGACTATAAAGTATAATAGAATTGTACTGTATGTCTTCTTTGGAAAAATGTGTATTCATGTCTTCTGTCCACTTTTAAATTGGATTATTATTTTTTGGGTGTTGAGTCTTACAAATTCTTCATCTATTTTGAATATTGATCTTTTATTAGATATGTCATCTGCAAATATCTCCTTCTGTAAGTTGTCTTGTAGTTTTGTTGATTGTTTTCTTTGCTGTGCAGAAGCATTTTATCCTGAAGTCCTAATAGTCCATTTCTGCTTTTGTTTCCCTGGCCTCAGGAGATGTATCTAGAAGGAAGTTGCTATGGCTGATGTTAAAGAGATTACTGTTTGTGTTCTCCTCTAGGATTTTTATGGCTTCAAGTCTCACATTAGGTCTTGAATCCATTTTGAATTTATTTTTGTGTTTGGTATATTCCCATTTTTTAAAAAGATATTATTTATTTGACAGAGATAGCACGAGCAGGCGGAGCGGTAGAGACAGGTGGAGAAGCAGCTTTCCTCCTGAGGAAGGAGCCTGATGCAGGGCTCAATCCCAGGATGCTGAGATCATGACCTGAACCGAAGGTAGAGAGGCTCAACAGACTGATCTACCCACGTGGCCCCCACCCATTGTTTTTTGATGAAACTAAGAGAGTTCAGTTGACTTGCTTGGGGTCTTCTGGCCTATAAATATAGAGATTGGGATTTAGTGTTTTAGAAAAAATTAGAAATTAGTGAAATTTAAAAAAGAAAATACAGATGAATTTAAAGAAGGAAATATAGATGACCTTAACGAAAAAAAAAAAAAAAGGCCTCCTAGAACTCCTAGGATACTACTAATATTTTGGAGTGTATTTTTCCTAATATGTGTATTAAGTTGACCCACTTGAAATTGCTGTTTTTATAAATGAAAAACAGACAAATGCCAGCAGTTTTGTATGGTTCAACCTAATATATATAGTTTTCCTTACATAAATGAGAATGTCCATACTATTTCATAACATATTACTTGATATATACTAATAATAGTTGTAGACATTTTTACTAGCTGATATGATTCTGTGATATCAAAATTTTTTTCTCCTTTTTTTACACAAATAATAAATTCCATTGCATAAAAATAAGAAAATAGAAGAAAAATGAAAGTTAAAAGAATCCCAAATCACATCATCAGATATATCTATAGTCAAGATTTTGTTGTATATTATTTCAGTCCTTATCTTTTATAAATAATAGAAATATAACCAAATATAGGTTAGTGAAAATACAATAATACTGTTATATATAATTTTTAAATTATTTTCTAAAATCATCATGTCAACAATTTCTTTCCATGACAATAAATATAGCAGTGTCATCATCTTTCGTGGCTGATGGAATTCTTTTGAATATGCATAGTTAATTAACCTAGTTTCTTATTTTAGGATTACTTTCATTTCAGTTTCCTTCCTTCCTTCCTTCCTTCCTTCCTTCCTTCCTTCCGTCCTCCCTTCCCTCCTTCCATGTAGTTCTAAGATGAGTAGCCCTGTGGCTAAATCCTTATATACATATCTGTGATTATTTCCTTAGCATAACTTCCTAGATGAGGAATTCCTAGGTGAAAGGCCACACGAATTTTAAAGTGTAAATATTATAAATTGGCCTACAGCAAATATTTATGAGTTAACTTCTCTCCTAAAATGTATAGCAGTTTCACTTTTTACCCAACCTGGCTATTTCTACTTAAAAAATTTTGCCAATTTCATCAATACGGCCTTGTCACTCTAATTTGTATTTCTTTGATTACTAGTCGAGTCGAACATTTTTAGAAATACATTGGTCAACACTTTTATGCTTCATGTCCCGTTAAGAGATAATACAATTAACTAGGGTTTGACAAAGCATATAACTGTGTCCTATTGGAGTCTTTTCTTTCTGTAATAGCTTGGAGTTTGTGTTTAGGTGTAGTACCTTCCAGAAGATAAAAAGCTGTTCATATTAATTTCTTTAAAATGCCAGTAGCTTAAATATTGTTGTCAGGAGTGGAGAATTATTTAATTACTATCTCTTAATTAGAACTAGCAGGTGGTGATGTGAAAATGCTCTCTTGTGGGAGGCAGCACAGTTCAGCAGAAAAAGCACTGGCCTTGGAACAAGTATTTCTGAATTCAAATCCCCATTCTGTCACTTGGGCAAATAACTTAACCTTTCTAAGCCTCAGTTTCATCTTCTGCAAAATTAGGGATAATGATACTTATGTTACAGAATTTTTATGAGAATTAATTAGGATACTGGTTGAAAAGCAAGTATATTGTTGATGAATCTTCTTTTGTGTTTTTTCAGTAATAGTTAAATGAATAGTTTTTTATTTGTCCTGTGCATAACTTGTTTTAAAAAGTAAAGTGTCTTGAGATGCCTGAGTGGCTCAGTCAGTTAAGCGTCTACCATCAGCCCAGATCTTGATACCAGGGTCCTGGGATCAAGTCCTTGCATTAGGCTCCCTGCTCAGTGGGGAGCCTGCTTCTCCCTCTGCCTCTGCCTCTCCCCCTGCTTGTCTTCTCTCTAATAAATAAATACAATCCTAAAAAAAAAAATAATAAAGTGCCTTGCCTCTTTATAAAAACAAAATAAGATTGTGAATACAAGATATGGAAAATACAGAAGAGAAAACAAGTTACTTATAACTTATCATCTGAAAACAACCAATTAACATTCTGGAGTTTTGTTTTTAGTCATTTTTCTATATGTAATAGTTTCTTTATAAATCCTACGTTGGATGTGATGTTCAGAAAGGGCTTCCTTTATGTTACAGCTAGATTTTGACCAAGATACTTCCTGTATTACAGTAGTGCATCAAGGAGTAAAGGAATCTTCAAGGACAAAAGTATTCTAACACCAACGAACCCCAGTGTGTGGAGTCTGCATTAGCACTGTGAACAGACGTGGGGCTTACCCTGCAGGCAGATATCAAAGCCAATGTTAGAAGAGCTTTGGGCTCTTTTAGAAGGAGACAGAGCTTTGGGCTCCACCAGCAGATCAGGCCTTGAGCCTGAGGCTCCCTCACTAAGGAACGGCCTAGTAACCCGAGTGGGATAGTTTCATGTCGGTAGTGTCTGGGCAGAAGCTAGTGGAAGATTTTCTCTGAAAGAAAGCTGGCCTAATTTAGTTCTTTAAGGAGCCCCTCAACAGACGGAATTCGACAAAGAAACTGGCACACGGACAGGTATGTTAATCTTATATTCAGCCACATTGCTAAACTCTCTTACCAATTTGAGTAATACTTGATCTGTACTTTCCAGGGTTTTCTACACAGAACATTGTATTATTTGTTCTATTAGTGACAGTTTATTTTTTCTTTCCAAACCTTTATCTTTATATTTTTTCTGACTTCACTGGCTAGTGTTCAATGATGAGTAGGGGTAGGGGAAGCAGGTATCCTTATCTTGCTCTCTGCCTTGAAGAAACTCTTTCTTAAGTCTGTCCATTAAGAAGGAAGTTTGCAGTGTGGAGATTCCTTAAGAAATTAAAAATAGAGCTTCCCTATGACCCTGCAATTGCACTACTGGGTATTTACCCCAAAGATACAGATGTAGTGAAAAGAAGGGCCATCTGTACCCCAATGTTTATAGCAGCAATGGCCACGGTCGCCAAACTGTGGAAAGAACCAAGATGCCCTTCAACGGACAAATGGATAAGGAAGATGGGGTCCATAAACACTATGGAGTATTATGCCTCCATCAGAAAGGATGAATACCCAACTTTTGTAGCAACATGGACGGGACTGGAAGAGATTTTGCTGAGTGAAATAAGTCAAGCAGAGAGAGTCAATTATCATATGGTTTCACTTATTTGTGGAGCATAACAAATAACTCGGAGGACAAGGGGAGATGGAGAGGAGAAGGGAGTTGAGGGAAATTGGAAGGGGAGATGAACCATGAGAGACTATGGACTCTGAAAAACAATCTGAGGGTTTTGAAGGGGTGGGGGTTTAGGAGGTTGGGGGAGCCAGGTGGTGGGTATTAGAGAGGGCACGTATTGCATGGAGCACTGGGTGTGGTGCATAAACAATGAATTCTGTTAATGCTGAAGAGAAATAATAAAAAAAAAAAAAGAAGGAAGTTTGATAAATCCTTATTGGGTTAAAGGAGTTTTCTTCCTGGATGATGCATAAATAAAAATATCGTGAATGAATGTTGGATATTATCCCATACATTTTTATGTATCTGTGGGGATAATTATGATTCGTCTCCCTTATTCTGTTGGTGTGTTGCATTATATCGGGGATTGGCAAACTATGGCACACAGCCTGGGTTTGTATGGCCCGTGAGCAAAGAATGGTTTTTAATGTTTAAAGGATCTTAAAAAAACAAAGAAGCAGCCCAAAGAACATGTGACAGGAACTATAGGTGTGCAGAAAGCCCAAACTATTTCGTATCTGAAGTTGCTGACCCCCACATTACATTATTCAGTATTCTAATGTT